CTCAGGGATGTGGTCTGCTTCCAGTGTATCAGCAGCAGTTTGGTGGAAGGTCTCTGAGCTTTGGGGCATGCCTGAATCCTGCCCTTGGACAAGTCATCTTGTCTGATCATCTTGGAACTTTGCCATTGGATTTGTTGACCTTGGGTTTGTCAGCTTCAGCAGCCAGCAGCTGAGTTAAGAGACACCTTAGTCAGGCAGGATCAAAAGGCAGAGGTGAAAGCCGAGGTTCACTAGCATTAACCCAGCCTGTAGAACTTGGCACTTTCAACTTCTAGCCTCTTAAAGTATATGAGAATAAATCTCTGTTTGTTAAGACCACCCATTTATGGTGTTTTCTGTTTGAGTGGCTCTAGAGCCAAAACCCTAGGACTCCTTTCAAAGTACCTAAAATTGCACATCTGTGCCTCTACTTTATAAAACCAGCATTTGTAATGTGCGTCTACTAAGGATCTTCATCAAAATTTACTAAGGAAAAGCAATCCTTCCTTCCTCTACGCTAATCTGCATTTGTAAAAATCAAGAACCAGCAAGCTTTTGGACTAAAAAGAAAACAACAAAACTCCCTGCCATTGAGTCCATTCGACTCACAGTGACTCTCTCTGGGTTTTCAGGTGTTAAATCTTTACAGAAGTTACACTGTCCATTCTTCATTCTGTGGAGAGGCTGCTGGGTTTGAACTATCAACCTTCTGGTTATACTCCAATGTCTCAGTCACTCCACCACCAGAGTTCCTAAGAGCACTGTACATTTCATTAGATGTGCACACAATCATTACTTGACTCAGCTTTGAATTAGGAGGAAAATGGTTTGCTTCATGGCTTTACATTTCCTTTTGAATAACTTGATTCTTAAATCTATGCTAGATTTTAAATTTCTTAAACTCCTGAACTATCCAGTAACAAAATTTTTTAGTTTACTTCTGTTCTTCCTTAATACATAAGATATGTAAATACTGGACATTTATGAACTCAACTTTGCACTTACCAAATTTTTTGAACTTTTAAATTCGCACGCAATTTTTGTCTGTAGATAGACGTAGTTTATAAATGTCCCATGTATATTTCAGAACTGCCTTCCGGATTATTTCATTTTTCAAGAAGTATTGTTGGCATCTTTGTTTTGTGATTTTCAAATATTCCAGTAAGTAATAAATACTCATAATTCCCAAAACAAAATATTTATATTACACCATTTAAAAAGAAATTGTGCATTTGCATTAAGATGAAATGTGATTTGTGGGTGGAAGACTATGTTTCATTGCCATTTTCATTCATTTGAAACTTAAATTTGCCCAATGAAAGCTTGAATATAGATTCCCTCGACTTTTTGTCCTTCTTTGCCTTTACCTATGGCTTTGTACTTTTGATTTCAAAGCACAAAGAGATGTAGTATTTACAAGGATAAGGAAAACAGTGTTTTGGAGATAATTTAGAGACTTTTCAATCACTTTCAAAAAGCGTTCAATAAGGAATTTGTTTACCCTAATAAATTAAGAAAATTCAGAAAAAGACATAGCTTCTGCCAGATAAGTAACATCTTTTATTTTATATGCATTCTTCCAAAGACAGAAAGAGAAATGTTAAAGAACTATGAAATTCACCTCCCAACAAGTCTGACTAGTTTTTGCAGTAAATAAATGACATATGGATTATTTTAAAATTTTGTAATCCCAGCAATAAAATCAAACAGGAAAAAGCATTTCACTGAAGTTTTATTCTGAAGATTTTAACAAAATCCACCAAATTTAAACAAGTAACAGCTATTTTTCAATTCACTCTTATGGAATTACCCTAATTCTCTTTCTTGCAAATTCACAGATGAAATGTTATCATATACCATTATTTTTAACACCTGCTTTCGCTTCCCTTACAACCCTGTGTGGAAGCCCCAAAACCTCAGCCACTATGTGACTCACGAGAAGCAGGATGTACCCATAGTAGGTAGGAACCCTTTCACATGAATTCCACCACGCTCACGATGACTCGCTCACGATGACTCGAGTAGGTGTCACTTCGGCTGCTTGAGTAATTTTCCTGACGTCTACCATATCCACCATGAGGACTGCGATAGTCATCATAGAGACTGCTTCCACTGTAAGCCACAGGAGATCCTCTTGCAGGTAGTGCACTACCTGAGATACCTGTAGGGTAAATGGTCAAGTAACATCAAAACTAACAACTAAATTAAAACGTTGATATTATGTTTGCAATTAACATGTTGATTAGATGATTCTAGTTTAAATATTTGAAGTAACACGTTTTATCATCTGTCTCTCCTGAGAAGGTATCAATTATGCCATGGTAGTGAAATTATCTCAGATTGCTTTCAAAGTAATATCAAGACTAATACTTGGATCTCAAGTAACTTTATTTTGAAGTAAATCTTCAGAGAATGGACTAAAATTCCGACTTCCTGTCGATCATTAATAATAGGGTTAAACCATACCCCATGTTGTTTAAACACAGGAAGGTAGTTTTCCTTTACTGGGATGAATATAAGACATTGACAATGTACATTTAACATCTACGAGTTTAAAGAGAGCTGTGGAGAAATAACACTTAGACAGTGTTTTCCTTCTGTGACTAAATGTTAACTCATCGAAAACAACACCTGACCTATATAACATACCTTTTTGATTTACAAACTGTAAGTGAATCACTCTTACCATAACTTGCATGCGAATCTCTGCAACAGGCTGCACTTGCATGTTCAGAATGATCTCTATCACGACCTGCACCGTAACTATCATGGACACTAAATAATTTTTAACAAATTGGAATTAATGTCAGAATTAACAATTACAAAGAAGTATTTGATAAAAGCAGCAATTTTTCTATTACTTGTATCCTTTAGCGGAGTGTTTAGCTCGACACTTGGAATGACCACAGTCTCTAGATGGTGGAGCATAATGCTTAGTGTCTCGGGAACTTGAATAATCTCTGCCTGCATAACTTTAATAAAGCAGAACAATATAAAAACATTTAAATTCCCAAATCCAGAATATATGAAGAACTCTTACCACTCAGAAATAATACCAAAAAAAAAAAAAAAAATCAGAAATGGGTAAACGACTAGTATAGACATTTCTTCAAATTTGGAAATGCTCAGTAACTGCATGAAATATTAATTTCACCTTCATTTGTTAGTAAGGAATTGCAAACCAGAATCATAGGGGCTATAATAAAACAACAAAGCAACACATGAGAAAGTCAATTATGAAAATTACCAATGCCACAAAGGATTTGCAGAAATCAGAACTCTAACACTGCTGATGTGAATGAAAAATGGTTTAGTCCCTCAAAAGGTTTATGATTCTAGCTCTTTCAGATCTCTGAAGGGAGCTCTGGTAGCGCAGTGCCTAAGGCATTTGACTGCTAACCAGAAGGCTGCCGCTTCCAACTCACCAGCCACTCCTCAGAAGCAAGGTTGGGCAAGCCTACTTCTGTAGTGCTACTGCCAGGGAAACCCAAAGGTGGGTCGCGATGGGTCGGGTCCGACTCGACAGCACACAGCAACACCAACAACAAGATCTCTTAAATCTGTCAACTCTTCTGCTTCCTTCTTGTCTGAATTCCCATTGTTTTAACTCATCCCATTTCTTCCTAGATCAGATCATTATATGACCCAATAATCCGAATACTTAGTAGAATAGCTCGTATTCACACATTCATAGCAGCACTATGTAAATTACACAAAAGTTCCTCCAGGGATGAAAAAATGAATAACAAGTGATATGTACATTTGATGGACTATTATTCAGCCAAACAAAGGAAGTAAGGATACACACTACAATGTGCATTAACCCTGGAAACATTTTTCTACACAAAAGGAGCCAAGCAGAAAAGGTCCCAACGTATGTTTCCGTTCATATGGAGTATCTCACCGCAGTCAACATCAACATAAAGAAAACACAAAACCTCACAAATGGTCCAATAAGCAGCATCACGATAAACAGAGAAAAAAACTGAAGCTGCCAGACATTTCATATCACTTGGCCACACTATAACAACAGCAGTCAAAAATCAGACTTTCTATTGCACTGGGCAGACCTGCTGCAGAAGCCCTCTTTAAAGTATCGAAGAACAAAGGTATCTCTCTGAAGACTAAGGTGCACGTAACCCAGGCCATGGTGTTTTTAATAGCGTCATATGCATGGGAAAGCTGGACAAAGAATAAGGAAGACAGAAGAAGGGTTGATGCTTTTGAACTGTGCTACTGGTGAAGAACACTGCAAGTACCATGGACTGCCAGAAGAACTTATCTGTCCCG